TTATATATATATATATAGCACAAGGTAGATTGCAGGACATCATAGGTATTTTTGTGTGATTTATTTACAGTATTTTCTAATGCTTATATCCAAAAGAGACACTATGGTCTAATATAAGCATAACAGGCACATACAGGGTGATTCACTGTTTTTTTGTTGTTTTTTTTTTGTCATGTTTCTTGTTTACTCTGTACAAAAGCTGCATTTTCAAGATTAATAACTTTTTTACATACTTATAGTTAATGCATGCGTATACGAGGAATTAATCAGGTTGACTCTACCATTTTTCATAGTATTGGTATGTTTTATGCTTACCTTATATAACTCGCGCTTTTTTTTTCTCTCTGTTGAATGCATATTCTCGGTGAAAGATATCATTGCGAAGAATTAAAATCAACGTTGATATTTATATGCGTGGATGAAAAATTTACGGGTATTTTATTTTGTATGATCTCTGAAAACTACTTAAGCCCCATAACGTGATTACACGCCTACTGAAGTTAAATAATCTCTGGGAATCGGGATTTTACGTCAATTTTAAAGATGTTATAAAGTTTTCAAAAAATGATTAATTTTTATACGACCAGATTTTAACACGCTATGAAATACATCTTGTATAAGTTTCACAAATAGTTTTACAGTATTGCTACATGAAAGTTCATAAGGAAGGTTTTAATACGCTACCATCTTGTGGTATACGTTTTACAAATAGTTTGACAGTATTGTTACAGGAAAGTTCATAAGGAAGGTTTTAATACGCTACCATCTTGTGGTATAAGTTTTACAAATAATTTGACAGTATTGTTACATGAAAGTTCATAAGGAAGGTTTTAATACGCTACCATCTTGTGGTATAAGTTTTACAAATAATTTGACAGTATTGTTACATGAAAGTTCATAAGGAAGGTTTTAATACGCTACCATCTTGTGGTATAAGTTTTACAAATATTTTGGCAGTATTGTTACAGGAAAGTTCACAGGACCAGATAACGTAAGACGTTTATTATCATAATCACCTAACTATAAATAAAAAGTATTTTTATTGAAATATGCCATATAATGAATGTGAATAAACAAAAACTAATATAAAATTAAAGACATAAGATCATATAGAGCAAACCAAAGCTAAATGTTTAGCTCAGTTAATCACGTGTGTGTTGAATTACAGTCAGAATGGAATATCTGTAAATAGACTTGTGAACTGGTTTTGGAAGTATGGTACCATGTATTCTTGAACAATTAAAAAAAGTCCATATGTACGAACTTGACGCTGCATCAAGTCTTGAGGATTGTCTGTAAGGAAGTCTAATTAATCGAGAATATGAGCTAAGCTTCTCGTGCAACTGTCACTGATTCAAGATGGGTCGCCTTGCTAATCCCAGGTTCAAGTTAATTAAAACTCTCGAAAAAAACTAATTAATGTTACAAGTATACCATTAAATAACAGTGCGAGACTTCGTATTCCATACACATCCCACTGTTTACATTAACGATACACTTCCATTACACGAGTAATTCCAAATAAACTAAGAATATTGTTACGTCTCCGTTTGTTAATTGATTTTTCCGTAAC